GGCTAGCCAAGTTCGTGCCGTTTTGCATGGTTTTCACTAAACGACCAAAAACGGAAGGTGGTTTTTGAGGCGTTTTTGTTGGAGAACTATTTAAATATGCCCAGAAGTAAAGACCAGTAATAAAAAGTTAAAAACCCCTTGGTTGGTTCGGACGCCAAAAACCGATGCCGAAAACCGAAAGCCGGTTTCTGAAAGCCGAACGCCGGATGGCTTGGTTTTTGGCTTGGGCGAACTCCAAGTGTTTTGACCCAAGTTTAAACTTTAAGAAAGGTATTTTTGAATATGTAAAGGAGTTTTTTTATGAATTAAGCCTAGAGAGCCAAGATTTGGAATTTTGTGCCGGTCTTGATCACATTAAGACCGACTCAATACAATTCTAGTTCTTCGTTCTTGATTCTGGGTTCTTGGTTCTCAAGTCATCATGCCATGTTCCTTCGCCTTAGTTTTGCTCACTTTAGCTTCGATATGTCGCGGCGGTTTGGCATTATCAAAACATGTCATAAACGAACACAGTTTAGTACGACGAAGGCGTAAACCCGTGTTCCAACATGTTGTTGGCGGCCATGTATCTGAGAACGAAGTAATTTTCATTGAAAGCGACGACGATGTTGTGGACGATTAAAAGGAGACTGAAATCATCTATTACCATGAAGAGGAAGACGTCATAATCATTGCTGGGACTAAGAAGACGCAGTTGATGCTAGACGACGGCCAGATGTATGAGATACTCGCAATGGAGACTTCTCCAGGGATCTACAAACCTTGGGATCTGAAGACAGATGTGATGAAGTTCATGCAACCCACTTCAGATGTGAACTCTTTGGTCTCAGAGATCAATTCCAAGTATGTAATTTCACATCTAATTCATAGGATTATCAAATTTCATTTGTAATTTATGAAATTTCTACTTCATTGATACATGTGTGTTATACTTTAACCTGCTGGGATTACCGTATCAATGTTCACTTCTAATTACCGTATCTAATCTCTACTACACTAATGGAAATGTGTGATATTGTGATGATTATTAGTTGAACTGGCTGATTTTTTTGTACAATATACAATAAGCTTAAATGGCTTAAATGTCTGTTGAATGATCTCACCAAATTAACAAACATGACAATTATCTTAACCGGCAAGTCCATGGTGTCTCTCCTAAAAGTGCATTATAGTTTAACCCTGGCAATTCAATGACACTATCTTAACCTACGAAAATAATTTCGGTGTGCCTGATAAATTGGTTAAGGAGATGCTGGGATAATGTGTTATATGCATAATACCAATTTGTTTAATTTCTTCTTACAACTGTGTTACACTACGTGATAATTAAATTCAAGAGCAACTCCTGACATAAATGTTTTTTGGTTTCAATTTGTTTGTGGGTTTTCATGATGTGCAGTTCATGTCTGCTAGCAGTGCTTGTCCTCCTGTATATTGATGTTTCTGTGTCTTAAGTTGTGTCCTCCTGATGGATACGTTGGGCCATAGTTTTTTTGCTTTTTGGGTATAACAATAATGCTGTTCACTTGGTGGCTTTTCCCAAGGTTTGTACGGTCAAGTTTTGTTGGTGGGTTTTTCCATTTTGGTTTCTGCTCTAAGGTGTGTATGAATACTTTTAGAATGGATGATTGAAGGATGAAGCTGCTTCAAGGATATTAACGGAATGCTTGAAGGATGAAGCTTGAGGGATATCCATGTTGGTGAGTCATTTCCTAACTTCAAGGATATGTACTATTTCTTGGATGCTTGTTGGTCATTGCCTTTATTTCAACTTACCACTATTAAAAAGAACCAACTTTTGGCCTATAACAGATCATGTTTTGGAGGCATCATCATGAAAAATTGCAGCACCAAAGCAGTTTCTTGAGCAAAAAAGTTGTTCTATGGTTGTCGCACTCCATTCCTCAGTAAACCTTGGGTCATACATTCTATTTGCATCTCGCCATCTTCTAATTGTTTTTTGGTTTTATGATGTGAGATTGATGGATTGTATGAGTTCCCAATTCCCTTTGTGTGTAGCGGGACAGTACCCAGCCTGTCCATGTACAAATTATTTCGTTTGAATGGAAGTGTTTATTTTTTCATGTCCATATAATTCTTTAAAACAACGGTTGTTTGATTGTTTGGACAGTAGTTTTTGAGTGACTGAGTTGAACTCTTGGGGGGG